GAAATTCCCTCCAAGCTGGCCTGTCTTCAGCCTGGCTGTGCCAAGTGCAATGTGGCGTGCCTAGCTGAGACAACGGCTCGTCGAATCCCACCACCTTGAATTTCCAGTGGCAGGTGCCTGATACATGAACTGGCTGCGATCAATGCTTGTCATATTGATCATCAAACCAAGTCTGAGGCCTTCTTGGTGAGGCTGGGTCACTTTCCTGCAAGCTGGGGGTGGCTTCAGGTAATTTCATCATTGGGCGGGACATAATAACACAAGGTGGGCATTGGAAAGATCAAATAGGGTGAAGTCTGTTGATGCAATTCTGTGTATGGATGATCCTGCCCAAATCAGAAGAATGCTTTGCGGCTGCACTCCATGTACCGGCCTTGGGTTTTCGGTGCTTGCCCAGCCGCCCTGCCAGTGTTCAGCAACTGCCCAGAAGGCCACACGAAAGGAGAAAGTCCCAAGACTGACGACTGAAAGTTGCTTGACCTCAAACCGAAGCTCATCTATGGGCCCTCACAGACATCGAGTGCATTTTCTGGCACCTTTGCGGGTTTCGCTTATCATGCACTCCCACATGGCTGCGACTGTTTCGGGCAAAGGCTTGTAGAATGAGGCATTGAAGGAAAAAATTGTTGTATGTTTGAGAATTCATCATTGAAACTGAAACAATGATGTTGTCATAGGTGCGATTGTAATCTGTCTGTCTGTCTCTGACAATCAAAACAATAAGAACACCTCAAGTGCAGTTATTTCTGATCCAACTGCAGCAACTTTCTTCCAAACCAAGCATGCTGCAACAAGGGACCTAGAAGGCCACTCTGAGGGGCCTTCTAGGCTGGCCATCATGACTGTGGGGTTCACCAGCCCAGCATGGCGGTGCTTTTTTGACCTCGCTTGTGGAGTGCGACAGACCATGCGCGGATGCGCTGCCATGTGGCTTTTAAAGTTGGAGCTCACGTGGCCAGGCTTGCTTCCATGAAGGGCTTCAACGACCTTATGTCATCAGCATACACTGGTGGAAAAACTCATTGTGCTGGTGAGGGAGCCTTATCCGCCCTTTCGTGGAGGGCACAGTATTGGGTTCCAAGTAAGGAACTACGGTTTTGCTTGTCAGGTTCCACCATTACCCCTAAAGTACCTGCTGCATGCCAACCTGTCTTCCAAGCTGCAAATAGATTGCATCTGATCGTCTATCCTGCACAACCACAGTGAAACTTGCTATTTTTCTTCCAAAGCACAGCCCACCTTCGCCACAAGGTCGGGAAAGCCAGTTCCATCAAATTCATGTAGGCAGCCCTTTGCCTCTTGATCAACAAGTGAGCCATCCATGAATATCTGCACTGACATGGAGCATGAGCCTTGTAAAAGTCTAGCAACGGGCGCGTCTGCTTGTCATACTCCTACACGCAGGTACTAAAGGAATGAACCAACAAGACTGCCCATCCATGACACATCAAATCAGATTTCCAAAAACGGAGAACTCTCCACAAAGTCCATTTCACTGTACCATGACAGTCGGTGTATTGAAATGCGAGTTGATGGTTCACATCTATTCATTGGTCGCTCCTGCAGTCTAGCTCGAACAGCTTCTGGCTTGTCGTCATCTCGCTGCACCAGTGGCTCACCAGTGACATCATCTTGTCCTTCAACCTGCAAACTACAAAATGTAGCCCGCTGGGGTAGAAACTGCAAAAGTCAACAACTCGATCACTTTGCAAGAGAACCCTCTGCCTTGGGCGGGTTGTAGTCATATGCATAAGTACGACCTGATGGGGAGTGAATCCTCAGCGCAATGTGCAAGTTAAGGAAAATACAATTGCTGTGTCACGTCCATCATGAACTCTCGTAACTCTCGTACATGCTCAACAGTACTGACATGCGGATGTTGTGTGTTCAGCAAAAGGAGATGAGGGTCAAACCTTCTAAGGGTTCCGAACATGTATGGACAGGGTGCTCCAATTAATTCAATTAAACTGCCTTCATTGGGCAAAAGCAGTGCTGTGGCCCAGGCCAGCGGCTGCTGATTCTTCTCACCTTTTCAAACATGAAAAGCTGGGAGTCAAACTCCCCGCGGCGTCCGATTCTTCTGTCGTGACATAAGGTCGTAATATGTCGTAATACAGCTCTACTGTAATTACGTTTCAAGCTCACCATGCGTTCAATGGTTTGGAACATCCTTCAAGTCAAGACACAAGTTGATTCTGCAGAGACTCATTTAACCTAAAATCTGAGGGGTGTGACAGCATTCTCTATCATCAGTGTGGGTACGAAGGTAAAGCTACAGCCACCTGTACAGCTCTAAGAATTCCACAATTTCCTCATTGGGAAGGCTCAAGTTGATGGCAATGTCCTGGGCAAAGCTTGTTTGTATTTCAGAACTCAGAACTCAATACAGAAACAGAACTCAGAACCCTGAACCCTGGCATGTCTTTTTCTCTTGGGCTTCAACCACGTGGCATTCCTTGTCGAGGGCCGTCGCCTACAAGCACAAACACAAAATCCGAACACATAAGGGGTAGTTAAGGCTACAAGCAAGTACTTTGGGGAAAGCTGAGTCCAAGACCTAATGTCTTCTAGTTGCACTGAGTACAACTGGTCAAAAAGTCAACACTGGCGCAGCGCCCTTGTCTCAAGTCGGGTCTGGCCTGCACGCTGGTTCTAGGAAAGCCGTCCAGGAGCACACGAGAAGAGGTGAGTTTTGAGACCTGTGAAACAAAGAATTCTGAATAGTTGGAACAGGGCACGTTTTTTAGGTCAAAACTTTATCATGTGGCTTAGTCGAGAATTGTTGAGGATTCTCGATGCTTCTTGAATGATGGTCGCTTGTTGCAGAAACAAAAGCAGTGAGACGGATCCCATAGTCAAAAGTTAAGAGCATCCTTGCGGCCTCGTTCATAAACATCTCAAGCACGAGGTCATCCGGCACAAGCGTGCCAGATTCCATGTACGTTCTAGCCTGCAAAGGGAAAAATGCCGGCAGGGAAACTCCTGCAAATATAGATTGACTCATATAAACATAGATTAGTTGTGTTTTAGGTATGCACGCGCTGACTGGATTCGATATGTGATGTATTCTTTTAATATGTTTAATGTTTAAACAAAAAGAAACATCAATAGCATTCCTTTTGAGGCCATCAGTTGGATCCGCCACCTACTCCTCATTTGATTCTGCCTGGATGCCGTGAGGTGTTCCCACGCGCACCTGACAGTGACTCTTTAACGAACTCTGCAATTGGCAATACACAAGTCTACTGATTCATTATATCTCTTCTTGTCCCTCCCTTTCTTCCTGTAGACCTTTAGACCTGTCTTTCTGTGCTTCTCTGTCCTTCTTGGAAACTTCAATTCGTCTTCTGAGCATCGTCCCCACAATATGATTGTTGTTCTGAATCCCTATGGAACGGCCTTTCCTTGTGAATAAGACAGTGATGTCAATTGTTCGCCAACTAGTCTGGCCCTTACGCATACAGGTACATTGCATGCAATGGCAGCTTAGTCATGTTCTTGTGCTGGTGCTTGAATCTGTGGTTGGCGTGATTACACTGACACGGGCGAGTCTCTTATTTCAGCCATGTCCGAACAACATGTGAACAAAGGTCTTTCAAGGCACCTTTCAGGTTCGCCCACCCAGTGTCAAACGTTCGCAAAAGAAATTTAAAAAAGATACGATTTCATGATGTTCATGGCCCACGACTGCACAGTAAACAACTTGGTATACAGAGAGACAATCAAAGCTCCTCATAAGTACCATATTCCAAAGTGAGATCACCAGTTCAATAGGATATGGCGAGCAAAAGTTATATACTCTCGCAAATTCTGCAAGATTTGTGGGACGAAAGGCTACCATTGAAGAAAGTTCTCACAGGGACCTTTTGCGCACTGGCCATATTGACCAAAGGCCTGATGCCGTAGCAAATCGCCCGCTGATACGTGATGGAAGTGGAAATCCTGGAACAACGAATGAAGTATTAAGTCTCCCAAACAATCCAAAAACCAAATGCATAAGTTTCCTGCGTCCTGCTACTATATAGTAGTTGCATTTAGCGTAGCAGTGGCCTACCCCCCAAAAAAAGGGCTATGGCAATCAGATGTAATTAAATGTGTTCCTTGCCTTGATCAGCTTTTTGCTGATTGTCCCTTTGCCACCTCACTCCACACGAAATGGCATTGGCAGTTCATGCCAGTAGTAAGAAAGAAAAAGTATGGAATCACAACTGGGCAAAGAGCTGTGGAATCGCAACTCAACTTTGAAAGCAAGTCGATGTTTCTTGCATACAGCTTTGAGGCCAGGAATTATGTACCACTCTGAAATGTTCCGACTTCCCTCATAGCCCTATTGGAGACAGGAGTGAAGCTTTGAGCACCGAGCCTGCTTCAAACAAGACTCATTCAATCAAGGACCCAGCCACCAGGAGGCCCCATAATGAGAGTTGTCTTGCAACGAGCCTTAGAATCTTCACTTCCCCAGAAAACTCTGTTACATGAGCTGATCATGAGCTGAAGCCGTTGAGCCTCTGAGCTCAGGGCAAAGGCTCGACGCAACACCTGCCATGCCCAGCGTGGGACAATGCCAAAAAATTCAACCACATTTTAAAAGTAATTATTGTAATTACCTGACAGCATCGCCTGATCAAGCTTGCAAATTTGGCTAGCCATGTCTGAGAGCCGCGTGGCTTGCAGCAGTCTTGGATTGGTGGCTTGGCACTTGAGACAAGGATCTGGGCTTTCCTGTGGCAATCTTGGCTTTCCCGTTTCCCTTGGCAACTCCTTTGACCTTTTTTGCCCAGAGCGATCATGTCAATCGATTCAAGGCAGATTTGACCGATAGAACCACTGGCTGCAGAGCTCAAAACCTTCGGTGAGTGTGTAGAGCTCTGGTGCCAAGGTCCAAAGGCTAAGCAGCTGAGCTACGCTAGGCTGGTAAGTTGATTGTTATGTTGTTGCTTTGTTTTGATTGTCTGACCACTTCGTTGCCCTTCTGTCTTTGCTCGTTTGGGCTGCTTGGATTGGTCACCAAAAGCTTGACCCAGCTGCAGCATCGGCGGTCCGCTTAAGCCTAATTTAATCAGCCACCTTTGAGTCAAAGAGTTCAGGCCGATGGTCTCGCCGGATGTAAAACAGCACATAGGCCCCAACCTGCAGTGGTGAGTGGAATAGTTCATTCACAGTGCCGATCTTGAACAGCCAACTTGCCTTGTCAGAGGCAACTTCTTCCTCTGTACAGCCCCGAACTGTGCTGTCATCGAAGTGGTACCACCTGAAGACAGACAGCCCCCCCGAATAACATGAGTCACTACTGCAGCATGAGCATGACAAACACCAACTGTTCAACACATCCGAAAGCAACATGCTGGGTGGACTCTCCATCAATGGAGGAACGTGAGAACGCCACGTAGTGTCCTACGTTGAGCGCATGTCAGGATGAGTTTTTTCTCTGAATATGTTCTTTGTCAACACTGCTTACTGAATCTTTGAAGCAAAGCAGCAAATGTTTCCTTAGTTTGCCAGTTGTACTGATTTGTAGATACGAGTACCTTTGGGTTGTTCATGGTTCTGTGCCTTTTTCTTTCCTCATATGCTTCTCTCTCTCTATATATATATATACACTTTTGACAAATGTTTCAGCAAGGCATTTGCTGCGGCACTGCCTCCACTGAGTGAGCCGATGTGCTTCGAAACAGCTGCAAGATCATACACCTGACAAACCAAGTGAACGCACACAGCCAACGCCAGCAGTGCTCAAAAGATTCCAAAGCAGCCAGCGCTGAGCTCACCACAGGGGTGACTTTGGATGTCTTCCTTGAGGATGCCTCAACTTCTCATCGATGAAAGGTCATTTCACAACGAGGTCCAAATTACAGAGGAGAACCCCACCGTGCAGTAAGGTGTGAGGTCCAAGTTCTCGAGAGGGAATGCAACTGCATTGTCGAGGCGCTCTCGAGACCTGAAAGTCAGAAGTCGAAGCCAAAAGTAAACAAAAGGTTTGTCACACCGCTTGTGCACTTGTTGAGGCAGAAGCCAGCGGGTGTATTGAAATCTTTTCAGCTGTAGGACTAAAACTGGAGGACAATGATGAAACCTTAGGCATGCTGCCAATGCGCACACCGTAGGTTGGAGGCCATTGCTAGCAGGTTGAAAGCCATCGCTAGTAGGGGGAGGCCATTGCTTTTAGGTTGGAGGCCATCGCCATCGCTAGTAGGTGGGAGGCCATCGCTAGTAGGTTGGAGGCCTCGCGAGGTTGGAGGCCATTGCTCCTGGGTTGGAGGCCATCGCTAGTAGGTTGGAGGCCATCGCTAGTAGGTTGGAGGCCATCGCTACTGGGTTGGAGGCCATCGCTACTAGGTTGGAGGCCATCGCTAGTAGGTTGGAGGCCATCGCTAGGTTGGAGGCCATTGCTTTTAGTTTAGAATGAGGTCTTGGCTCCAGCTTCTTCAAGGCCTCTTTGTGCCTGTCGGGTGTGAACAGTCGCAACAGCACTTGCCATTCCACTCATTGCAGCACCAAGGCGTGCGCTCTTTGCATCGGTTGCAGTACCATGCATCTTCAGAGCTGAGCTTCTCTTCCTGACAGTCTGACCCTCGCGCAAGCTGCTGCGTGCTCTGGGATCTGACGGGCTGGCCTGCACAAACATCTGCAGCAAGTGGGTCAGGTCGACTTCATCTGACAGCATCAAGCAACAGGAGGTTCAAAGCAGCAGAAGACAGCATGACTTGGAGACTTGAAAAAGAAAAAAAGGAAGGGAAAGAGTCCCGTAACCTTCTTTTTCCTTTTCTTTCTTTCCAATCTCTCGTAAGCAAAGCAAGTCAGATAAGTCAGACAGCACTTGGAGACTTGCCAGCCGTTGCGCTGCACTTGGAAGACCATGGCTCCTTGCTCTGTCTTTGTCCAAAGGCTTCTGCCAAAAACCCCGTGAAATGGCTCTCCTGCAGCAGCGTTTCCGGCAAGTCATTGTCCTGTCACAGGGTCAGGTGCGGATGATGGCAGAAAAATTGTTGCGCCAATGTCTCTTTTAGCCATCCGCCTGCCATTCGATAACAAACTGTAATCTGGACTCCTCACATGGAAGCACCACAGTCAGTCTGGTGAGGAGAATCACGTGGCTTCCTCCTTCTCATTCTTTCTTCCATCAAAAGAGAAACACTTTCCTTCAAACGCTGTCCTTGTTGACTGGCTGGAGCCGTTGATCGCTCTCGCGGTCCAGCTGAGGGTCATCGTTGATGTATGAGTACTTGTTGTTGTCTCTGAAGATCTTCCAATCCACGGCCTGAAAAGGACTTCAAATAAATCGTTCTTTGTTGACTGAAGACACAACAAAATTGAGATTTCATGTCATAGATGGTCATAGGTTTTCAGCAAACCCTGTGATTATGCAACCTGCAACATTTGGAGACTTAAAACCAATCAGTGATCACTATGGGTTTTCTCGCGTGACTATCACTATCACTGTTACTGTCACAGCGTCTCTGCGATCAACTGTCACTAGCCATGGTGAATACTATTCTCCTCCCTGACTGAGGATATCACGACATCTAGATCGTAGAGTCGTTTGAGATTCTGTTCAACCTGACAACACAAGATTGAACAGGGAAAATGCAGCCTCGCAACTTGTGAGTCTCTAAGCAAAAAATGAATATTCACAAAGGAACGAGGGGAACAAGGGCAGCGGCGGCAACAACGACAAAACAACAAAGCCTGTTTGTACAGCATCTGGACAGTTGCCTGGGACGAGCATGAAAGATTGTCAACTTTTTGGCATCAGGGGTCGAAGAGATCAATTTCTCAAGGGGCAAGCATCCTTCGAAATGGTCATGAGCAACGGAACACCTGGGAGGATCGAAGACATCTGGGACGATCCGCCACGCACAGTCTGAGGTGGGGACCAATATAGGACACGTAGTGAGACTGGCGAAGGCAACGGTCGCAGAGTGGTTCCGGCCGGGGCTTCGCACTTGCCATGATTAAAAGGACGATGCCAAAGGCAGCCAAAGCACTGCGCTGGATTTTCGATGATGCAAAACCACCTCGCACTGCGGGCTTGGGCACATGCAAGAATGGCCTACATATTTGCAGACAAGATGGAAGCAATCTGGGCGTTCCCGCTCCGAATGAAGAGGTCGAACTGGATGACGGATCATCTAGGATGCAAGCAGGATGTATATATATATATATATATCCAGGCAAATCCATTTCAGGTGTCAATCCATCACTCTTTAGCCGCAAATGCGATAAGGAGTGCGAAACCGAACTTGCAAGGGCTGGACCCATGTCCTCATCAGGACTGTTGAGTGCACTTGGCGGGCCCCAACCTTGATTAAACATCCCCAGGCTTGGACAGAGCCAAAGGTCCAGGAACAAGGCAACAAAATGGAGCCAGGAAGTGCAAATTTAGCTTTGAAGCAAAATGGATACATCACAGGCACAACAACACTGCTCAAACAGTAAGGGGCAGGCGTTGCTCTCCGCTCTTGAAAAAGGGTCTCGCATCTGGAACTTCGCTCAGCAGGAGCTTGTCCTGCGAAAACCAGTGATGTGGTCTATGTCGTTTTGGAAAGAAGGAAGGCCTCAGAACGAATAGTGTCCACAGAGGTGCTCTCTTCGAACCACTTGTAGACCTCTAAATTAAAGGGTCCATGTGGAATGAAGGCGCCAGGCGGACAACTTCTACACAAAGCACCAAGCCTTGCCGTTCCAGACTTCCACTAAGATACAATTGGCTGCCTTTAGGCCTAGGTTCGGCAAGCCAAGAACTGAAAGCGCAACGCACTCATGTCCAGAATCGCGCGCTCAAAGTAATAGCTCTGTAGCAAAAGTAACTCGGCAAGGGAAACCACCATAATGCAGATCGCATGGTTTCTTTATGTTTCTACTTTGTCATATGTTTCATTATGTTTCTATGCGTTTCCATCTTGTGTGTTCATCATGTTGCTCATGTCTGTTCATGTTGAATGGACTCAAATGAACTCGATGCCTGCACCAACTTTCTCTGCCGCCACTTCAATGAGCTCTTTCACCTTGGCCATAAAGGAAACTACTAGCTTACTAGCGATGGCCTCGCTACAAAGACTTCCTCAAAAGAGAGTGAATTAGACTTAGCCTGAGATCAACCAGGGCACACTCGCTTCCTTGTTCACTTTCACAGTGACCTGCTACTTGGATGTCTTTGCTCAAATGGGCAAAACAATGCAAAATGTGCTTGCCCTCAGCAACTTGAGAGAACCTAGAGTTTCTGAAAAGAAATGCCCCGCCTGTTGGAACTGATTGGCACCTTCTGCGTCACCTTCGCGAACCTTCAAAAAATACGTATGCAAACATCTAGACCTCGAGTCTAGAATCCAAAAATGTTTGCAGTTCGTTGGCCAAGCATCTTGAATTCTGAAACATCTTGTCATTCCAAAACAAAACATCCAAAGTTCCTACGGTCCAAGGCTTCCACAACAACCATATCCAGGGCCATCTGTCGCTGCTCCGCCTCAAATCTTGACACCAGCTAAGGCTAAGGAGTTACATTATATGTTATAGTGCGTTGTTCCGGCCGAGATGATTCACAGATTGTTTCGAACATATTGAAGCATGTACATGTTAGTTTTGCATGCTTCGACAGCGGTCCGTTGGACTTGGGTCTCCCCGGCCGAGCTGGAGAGTGAGAGCTTCGCTGACAAGAACGGGTCGAAGGTTACCGAGGTGCGGCCGCACCTTTGGGTTAGCAATCATTGCAAGCAATAATAAACTTTTTAGTTGTTTGCAAGTAATCCCCTCGTGACTTGTCTCAGTCCTCGACTCAGGATCTGGACAGCGCACTACAGATTTGAAGAGACCTCCACAAACAACTTTAAGTAGCGTTTGCAGTCTGCAGTCGCCTATAGCACTTAGCATATAATAGTCTGTACGTACGCGAAGTCTGTTTTGCACTCTTCGTTTGCCTACGAACAGGTCATCAACCTTCGACTTGCTGCGGGCATGGTAGGCATGTAGCCTCAGTTGATACATCTGTTCTATCATACCTGAGAAGGGAGGGGATGAAAGCCAGCCTCCGTAAGAAGACATCAATGTGGTTATGGAGTGAAGTCGACACCGCACTTCAGTTGCTGTCAGGCATGGGGAAATGCAGAGAGGCGCAAAGTCTCGCCTTGAGGGTCGATATGATATACACAAGGTCTTGATCAAGGCCCATTCACTGTTAGCGGTTATAGCATAGAAGTGGAGCCCATGCGTTAGGAGAAGGGTTGAGTTGAGCAGGACATTTAGCTTGGGGGGACAAAGTTTTAACTGAGCAGGACATTCACAGGTCACCCTTTTTCTTTTGGCTAAGACATTTCAAGCTGAATCAGGGCACCCCTAAGTAACTGAGGGGCGTTTGCCTGCTGTTTGCTTCTCCTGTCTTGTACCTGGACTCAAACTCGGTGTGTTCCTAAGAGTAGACCGCTGAAGTTTATTGCCAAGATCACGTGATTGCGTAACATCGAGCTTAAGTCGACATTGCACTGACCTCTACTGCTGTTCGGCACGGGGAATTAGAAGGCAGAGATGCGTAGAGTTTCGCATTTATGCTCGATATGATAGAGCCTGTATGCACAACGCCTGGATCAACTCCCATCCGCCATTACGCGTCATAGAATAGACTTCAAACTCGTACAAAAGTCCGACTCGCTTGGACATCTATAGCTTGGAGGGGTGCCCTTTTTCATCCTGTGAACAGCCCTTTTCACAATAAAAAAGCGCACCCCCAAGCAACTCAGGTTCCTGACAGCATTCTGTTCCCTCTCCAGGAGACCATATCTCGCCACTTCTGTCCTCTAGCTGGATGGAACACACCTGGTTAGCCTCGTCAAATCGCTCAGTCTGGGGTGAGCTCTTATTAGCCACGGGAAAACAGAAGGCTGAGATTCGCAGCGTCTCGCTTTGAAGCTCGATATGAAAGAGCCGATATACACAACGCCTGGATCACCTCCCATCCACCGTTTCTGGGCACGGCGCATATGTCCCTCTGAGGGGTGCCCTTGTGCATCCGATTAACAGCCCTCTTCACCAAAAAAGGGGCACCCCCAAGCAACTCAAAGGTTGCTGCTTGCATTCTGCTCCCTCTGCTGTCCTCTGCGGGCGACATCGTTTCTTGCGCCCCCTTTCACTCTGATTAGCCACGAGAGACTGAGAGACCATGGTGGGCTTCCGACCTCTTTTCCTGTCACGTTGTCCCCCCTTTCCTGTCCTCAACATGAACTCCCACCCCTTGTCGAAAGACTGTCCAAATAGCCTCCTGAGCCCCTCATGATGCTAATGATGCACTGTTCGGCGTCAATTACATCACTCGCACGCAACACCCCAAAAACCATACATGTTCACTACCTTTTGGACCGCCTCTTCTTTTCACTCTTCCCCACCAGGCTCTGGGTTCGCCCTACCCTGCCGGGCTACGTCACCAGCTGGCTTTCGTGATATTAATTTTTTTTGCACAAGCACATCAAATAGAACTCTCAAGGTAAGGAAGGGACGCCGGGAAATTTCTGTGGTAGGTGACAAGGCTTGGGAAAACTGGTTACACGATGTTACACCTCTGAAAACGATGGCCCCCGCATCTGAGCACACACTGCAGCTTCATCAAAGTTTGGCTCGGCTCCCAGGCGCTTCAGCTGCTACTTCCTCATCTGGCCTGCCATCTGCCTCAAGCCGCGAAATACCAAGATGGCCAAGTCCAGGGTTCGATAGCAGCCTTGGCGGGCCTTGCCTCTTTCAGCTCAATGTAGGGCTTCCGGCCATGGATTTCATTGCAGTCCTGACGAATGTTTGGGGCCATGACTCAGAGTGGTGCTGCCATCAGCTCCTCTTTTAGGCCATCCAGCACATACTCAATGAGCTCCATGGAATCCTGGAAAGGTCATGTTGAAGGCCATCGCTTCTAGGTTGGAGGCCATCACTCTTTGGTTTTGAGCTGAGGGCCACGTGGTCCTGCTGGCCATATCCGCTGAATTGCTCGGCGAACTGGCCCACCTGTGTGGCGAATGAGTGAACTCATCAGCCGGCTTAACCTACTCGTGCGCAATCCACCTGCCATTTGAAGTTCCGAGGTGCTACCTGCCACCATGAAGTGCATTTCTCAAACGAAGTGACTTCTGGACTATTCTGAGCCCAACAGCCTTTGTGGTGTTTGGCTTCCACATCACCTCCAACCTCACGAGAGCATTACAACTTGGTCCTTATCTCCTTACGTTCCGTCTGAAGATCTTCATGCTTGTCATCACTAGCAGGATCCGCGTTATCCAAGGTTTTCAAGTAATTGAACGGAACAAGTACCAAGTAAAACACTTGCACAAAGCACATCCGATCATGCTCAGCGCGTTGCAAATTCGCGAAAGACTCTGCAAGTTTGCCTTCGGTCTTGTGGGCATTCCGGTTCAGATTCTCCTGCAAACAGCTCTTGGCTGTGATGCTTATTACAGCCCAAACAGAACAGTTGCAAATCTCAAGGCTACCTTCTCCTATCTGTCTAAATGTTGAGACATCTCTTTTGACCAAAACATTCCCAAATCCAGTCCACCCTGAGCCTTGTATTTACCCTCCAAGAAGAACTCCCGCAACTGTGGGATGTTCGAGAGGCATTGGAGGGAGCTGTTCCTCAAAAGAATGACAACTAGAAGATCTACTTGAAGATCAAAGCGGTAGAGTCGGTAGAGTCACCAGACTTAGGGGGCTGGCATGAAGCAGGTGTTGCCCAGATTCTGCAGTCCAACCACTCCTTTCTGGATGGGCTGACCCACCTGGAGGATCTGAGTTGAAATCGGAACCCAGGCACCTGTTACTACTAGCGTGGCACCTGTTACTACTAGCGTGGCACCTGTTACTACTAGCTTCTTGTTACTACTAGTAAGGCACCTGTTACTACTAGCGTGAGAAGCAACGAAGCACAGCACTTTCTGGGGCAAGGCGCCGTCGCGACGTCGGCAGAGGTATTGTAGTAGGAGCTGGAGGAGAGACCATATCCGCCCGTGCTCGAGGTCGCAGCATACTCAGGTCATGGCCATTGGATCTTCAGGTAGAAGAAAACAAGGCACGGCCATGATATGTTTTCCGAGGTCAGGACGGGATCTGGAGTTGTCTGAGCATCCTCACTCGGACCAACCAAAAGCCGTGAAAATATGGTCGAGCAAACCATTGGCTTTCTAAGTTGCAATCTGGCAAATGCACTTAGTTTGTTGACCAGCTTAGCTGCACTCTGAGCAATTCACGTCTAGGTTCTCCCAAGTTCCATCTGGGAGCTGCTCTTGCAGCAAAATGAAGTTGCCCTCCACGTTGATGCGTTGAGATTCCAGTGTGTCGTCCTTCCATGCAACACTTTCAAACAGTCTTTCTCAACCCAACATTTTTTTTCTCGATATCGAGCATCATGACTCTTTCAACAGGGAACATCGAGAGTCAGTCAGTCAGTCAGTCAGTCAGTCACTCACTCACTCACTCACTCAGTCAGTCCAGGTGACTCTCCAGGAGTGCAAAGAGTTTCTCGTTGAAATAATCCCAAATGCGGACCTACGAGACTTCAAAGAGCTCTGAAAGCGGAGTCACCAGCGAGTTGACCACTAATCTGACCTTGCTTTCATCCAGCCCAAGATCTGCACAGAGTGTAGCCTGGCATAGTTTCACGGCTCCGCACGAGATGCTTCCAAGCGAAAAAGCTCCTAGTGGCGTTCTTGTTCCTAGTAGCGATGCCCTTTGCTCCTAGTAGCGTCCTCTACCACGGCAAAGGCTTTCCATTTCGACTTGCAGGATCTCTTCTTAGGCCATTTGCTGCCAAACGGTTTGGTCGACATGTTTGTGCTACCAAAGATTTGAGTTGCCCCTCAAGGTCCTTAAAAACTGTTTGCATTCTCCCTCTCTCTCACACACACACCAAATGTCTGGGAAATTATCGGTAGTGCCGACCTTGGCCAAAACCTGACACCTCCAGTGAACATGGGATGTTCGCCTGTATACCCAATTCTACGCTTCTTAGTGCACAGCTCGACGGCCTTGAGCTGCCCAATGGTGCTGGACTTGGACTCATTGTGCTGGCGGTCAATTGCATGAGCCCAGGTGACAGCCCACAGGTCGATGGCATTCTTCTTAAGCAGACAGCATACTAGATGGGCTAGACATACTTAGTCTATCTTCTCGGAGCTTGCGGCTACGGCTATGGCAATTGAAACCACTGCAAGTAGGACCGAGTCCCTGATCTACTCTTGCCTCGTATGGTGACCCCTGCAGATCGGTCGATCTGTAAACCTCGTCGTGGTCACAGCCGCAGAAGCTCAATGCTTCCAGTGCATGTCTCATCTCTCAAGAGGCTCTAACAAAACTGCTTAGATTTGAAGTAATTGGACGATGAACTTGGCACCAAAGTCACTAAGGAGGTACTGCAACTAGTTGTCAGAAAACGACAAGGTCATGTTTCAGAGTCCGTCTAGGCCATGTGAATCTGGGCCGTCGGGACTTTCAAGTTAATACCGTAGAGCTCCACTTGGACACTGCCACTCGGTCGCGTAATGGCTCTCCTCTTGATCGGTGGTCCACCACCTTAGTCTTCATGTGAAGCGTTCGCCCATTCTTGCGGAGCAGATTCCAGGTCCTCCAGATTTTCCCTGTCTGGCAGCAACATGCTGCCAATGTGTTCTTGGCTGCCGAGCCATACCATCCAAAAAGTAGGTCCCAAGCACCCTGGAAATGACACGTTCAAAAGTTTGCAGGATTGAAAAGGCGTCTTGTCCAAGTGAGTCGTCTGCAAACGTGCAGGGCGCTTTGAATGGTTTTGCCCTTGCCAAGAAGGGCCAACACATGTCATATGCCAATCAAAGGGCGGTTTCGTGTTTGTGCGCAAGTTTCCACATACTTCGACACTCCTTTCTGCTGGAAAAAAGATCAGTCCTCCGGGATAATGCGATAGTCGTTGTGCTCATCCAAGGATCTCTTGATCTTAGATGCAGATCCCTCCTCAAGAAAATCAGCACACCATGCGCAATTGGAGCGAGCCCAACGCGGCTTTCCTTAAAGCAAGAACAATTCTAGTTGCTAATTCCTGGGTCTGGATTATCAGGGAAAACGTATCTTCAGAAAAGGGAACTCATGGATTAAGTCACAAAGTCCCATAGCTGATTCTGTTTGACTCAATGACCATGGAAGGGGCTCCAAAGGCCATCTCCTCGAGGAGGGCAGTGTTGTCAATCTGGCCCGGGCGATCTTTGGTCCAAGAGCCTGTGCGCCTAGGAAAAGGATGACATCTCCGACATCTTCTAAAGGTTCGTTGATGCCTTGCATCTCATCAGTGTCCACTCTCTGTTGCTAGACAGCTAACAAACCGATCTTCTCTCCTCATTGCAAACTCAGTCCTGCTAAGGTCCCCACTGTCTCGTACGTCTAGTCGTACTGGTGCTTTCTTGAGAAGCGGAGATGGATCCCAGAAGAGGAAAATCATCTCCTTCAAAACGGCCCAAGGAAACTCAGGGTGAAATCATAAATATGAACCAAACACTGCTTTGATGAACCAGACTCCAAAAACGAACCGAAGGATCCTGATAAGATCAGTTGGTTCATTTCCACTTCAGCTGATCAGCTGATGTTAAATGGTGTGGGGCCTTCCAATGGTGGATCTGCAGGCCGCATCTGCGGGCTCTGCACGCTCGGCGCTCCTGCACGCTTGACGTCGCTCTTGACAAGGAAATCCGGCTCCGGCCCCCCTGTTCCCACACAGTTCCTACCCACTGGAGCCATTCCATGTACCTCAATGATTCGCACAAGTTGGGACTCTTGTAGTTCTGAATCTCAAAAATTCTGAGTGCCGCACCAACGTTGGTTCACCAGAAAATATGATGAGCCAGCCTCACAGCGACTTTGCAGCGTGCGACGTTGTGCAAATCTGACATTCTGCGCCCAGCCGTGCAGCCTTGAGGGGCTCATTGATCAGAGGCTCGAGCTGCTTGTACTCCTCAAGTCAATATCACAACTATCGCAACTTAGACTGCTACATCCCAACATCCCCAGAACATCCTAGGTCCTGGAACACATCTGCTACGCCCCGGGTGACATAAACAGGCCCAGTTCAACTCCGATACCCGTGGCTTCGATCGATAACCTTCATGAGATTCTCCTCGAGAAACAGCCTTCATGCGGGGATGTTTTGCAACTTGGTCACGCAAGCAGCACAACCCGTTCTCCTCTTTTCAAGCAATGATCAAGTGTCACCAGCCAGGCAGGGCTGCATGCTGGCTTCCAACACCCATCACCCAACACATCCAGGTTGGTGATGGTTGACTTTACAGGATGATGCAGGTGGGGTACACTGTATGCTATGTGCACAGAGGTTCATCTACACTGCAACAGTATGCCTGCAGCCTACCACAGACATGAACTGGTCGCTTTGACAAAAGGTCAAACCTGGCAGCTGATATGAGTGAATATATGCCTTTGGGTGGCATTCATCAACTTCAGGGGCCACCCTGCAAAACCCACATGGGATTCGGATTGACAAGCTTGAGTCCTCCACAGGAGATACAGGCTCCGGCGCTGGTTGCGGAGCGTGCCCTGAGCTCACAATGTTATCAAGGCACAAATGCTCAACTCTCAGTTCGTGACCATCTGGCATCTCTACCATTGCAGATTCTCAACTTTGCTGAAATGCCTACCATTATGGGTCTTGTCCTGCTTCTGACATGTCATTATGCGTGCTTCTTGGAAAAAGCTGGGCTCTGGAGCCTAACACTCCAACTGCAAGCCAATATTGCAGCAAGGTGTCTGAAATGCTTACATCGGGTGGTCTCAATGATGCATGTAGCGGCTGCGTATTGTCTGTGTGCGTTCGGATTCCTGTGCATTTGAAATGGAATGACCCATGAAACCCTCAATCCACTAAGCATGCTTTGATGATTACATTTATATATATATATATATACATAGAACCCTTAATGCCTCTCTGCGCAACACCTGATGAGCGCGGAAATTACACACATGCTTGTTCTATCACATGGAGGGACAGTTTGGTCACCTTAAACAGGATTGTTTTTGATACACACTGAGTGAGCTCATAGCATTAATGCTCTTGCCAATGGCAGTCAGGAATCTTTTCTCATGTCCACGGTAAGAAGTTCACGTGCATGCTGACACCCAGCACATTGTAAAGACCTATGTACAGCTTCACGAGGGGTCTGAGTCTAAGACTACTCTCACTATGCCTACTAAACAACATGGACGCAAGAAACCAATAGAAAATGGGACAAGCTGAGGAAAGTACTCTAGTGGCAATCTGTATATTTGCAAACAGCGAGATGTACGCCGCCAAGAAGCCCCAATGCAATGCATGTGGCACAAGAGGGCACCGCGTCAGTGCTATGTACCTGACAGCAATCCAAGAGCGCAAATCCGTGGCTTGCTTTGAGCCCTGTACTCTTTGGAGTTCCTGCACGAAATCCTTCAATACATACCCAACACCAGCCACCGTCACGGTCAGGGCAGGAGTGGCCAAAAGGAAGTTGGGTAGTTGCTTGAATTGCCAATACTGAAGGAAGCCACCTTGCCAATACTTTGCCTGGATTTGATTATAAGCACTGGGAATGTTGCTTTGACACCAATCGGGAACTTGTGCATTTGCGGAGCATTGCTCCGCACTTGAACTTGAACATTGCTCTGGAATCAATACGTCACGACACACCTTCCAAACTGCAAATGCCTGAAAAGTCATAAAGGGCGCAACGACCAGCACAAGTCCGGTGATGCAGCGCAGGATAGCCCACCAGAAAATACGAAGGCTACTGTGAGACTGTGAAATGTGTTTGACAGCAGCCAAGAGCACGTGATATGCAAGGAAACCAACATTGACGAGTCCGTTGGAACGAAGCGCTCCGGCCAATGCAAAGAAAGCTGCGCTGAAATAGAAATGATCCATCTGAAGAAGCAGCATTGCCCCAAGAGTACAAGCTGCAAAAGGGCTTTCTGTGTAGATGCAGCTGAAGAATATATTTGCTGGAGAGAAGCAAAAAACTCGAGCAGAATTGAAGGCCAATGCGCGGTCTTGCAATATGGCAAGGCCAAGCCGGAAAATCAGCCATGCTGAGATCACAAAGCATGAATTTGTGATCAACAACCCACTCAATAGCAATGACAAACCCCAGGAAAATGGCGAAGCAGCGTGCAACACACGAGCTGCTCCATTGGTGGCTAGGGGCAGAAGTGGGAAGAACGCCAAGTCTTTCTCATCTTGATACCCGGCATGTGCAATATTCAGGAAATGTGCTGAATCCCACCGTGTAAATGCCAACAACCAATGTGGCATGGCCAGTTCCTGAAAGGGTCTAACAACTGAGGGATCTGGCTGATGGTCTGGAATTACCACATCGAGCAGGACGGAACTAAGGAGTATCACACCTCGGGACAGAGCTGCAAGACAAATCACCTGCGCATCTAGGCTCCAAGACTTGCTTTGTCCATAGTTTCCACGCGTTGGAGATCCCGGGGGCGACATGTGAGGTGATACACTGGACGGTGAAATGAACTGGTTACCGGTGTTCAATGCAATTTGCTTTTGAGCCCACAAGTGATGCTGCAGGCGACCAACAATGGATGATGCGAGTTGGTGGGAACCCAATCCAAATAATTGTGATCTATGCTGCAATCTTGATGTCTGGAGGTGTTGAGATCGTCATTCTCCAGAATGATAGAAATATTGAATATATATATATATATAAACACGATTTATCAAGCAAACAACGTGCAGCTGGAAGAGAGTTGAGAATTTTAAGGCCCTTATATAAGGCGTTCTTCAAGTGTTTGCAACAAATCCATTGTCAACAACCTACATGCGCGGGAGAATGAAGGCGACTCAGCTTTTCTCACAGATCTCTCAGAAGGCCTGGGCCCTCCGATCACATCCACCGAAGGGATGAATGCTTTGAGATGGACAAAGCTGCCCTACCGGTCTAGGAATGGGTAATGGTCGAACGGTCGTTCTGTCTCCACAAGGATTTGGAGGATCTTCTCAGGAGTGCCCATTCCTGGAAACTAGGGCATCCGAGATCATTACCAAAGTGTGAGCCAACAATCAGCATCACATCTAAAACACATGTAATCTTCTCAGCACAAAGAAAGTGCTTCCTGGCGGGTTGCTCAGGTCCTATGACATGCGCAGGAGAAGATTACGGGTGACACCCAGCCAATCACCTGACCAAACCTATTCAACACAGTGCGTTCCACTGATCCTGTGCTCACTGTCAAGAAGCATCTCTTCAGCTTGCAATCAGTTTGTCAGGAAAAGGACTGGTTAGTGACATTCAAGCTTCTGAAATTGTCCTTGTAGATGAAACATTACAGTGCCCATTCTAGTTCCAGGGTGTCTGCGCCGTATTTGCTTCCCTACGGTCGAAATTGGGTGCCTCACGCTTGCCAGTGCACTACAACATCATTTCGCTGAGAAAAGACAGGTGCTGCACTCGTTGCCGATGTAAAGGTTGCTTCCTCAGTTGTGGTTTTCGTCTGAGTCAGACTTGCAATTCTCTGAGCCGAGGCCATATCTGTTCCAGCTCTCAGTGATGTAACATCTGGCAAGCTGTATTACTAACTTGGCTCAAACGTGCAATGCGAGTGTATATAAGGCAAAGATCAGCACAATGGTCATGGTGACCAGAAACATGCTCGGAATACCATTTTGATCATCAACACTCTCCGCTTCACCTGGCAAGAAACTGACAACATGCTTGCCTTTCATCCTCTCCTCATGAGCCTAGCAGCACGTTGATTTATAAGCTGTATGTGGAAAGCATTTGAAAACGTGGAAGTGTCACAGGCGAGTGCACGTCGGTTGTTGTCACCGAAAATCGTGGAGTGGATGCTAGACAATGGCCATGGCAGCTGGAAAACACCTGCACCTGAGGCTGATCAGTAGACAAAACCTGAAGAGAAAAATAGCCACATTTACTCCATATCAGCAGCGCTTACCTGTGCCACTCAGCAGTGCCACTCAGTGCCTTTGGCTACCAAGTGACCAGTCTCATGAAGGTTGCGCACCCAAGCCTGGTCACTGACAGGCGCCCACAGGTCACCCAGGCGCACGGGTCACCTAGATCCTCCCCAAAGATCAACAGGTCTATCAGACTCTACCATCGGTTTTTCTATCGAATCCGAAAACCTACTACAATCTACTATATATATATACATAATGCATACTCATTGTGCAACAAGGCACGCAAATCTGCCAACTGTGCAATGGATCAGCATCGTCGAAGCTAAGTCTGAAGCTGGGACTGGATTGACGCCCAAAGCCAGAGCCAGTTCTTGGCAGAAGTGGATGCAGTTACGTCCTGGGATGCAATCACCGACAAGCCACCATGGAGCCCACTTGCCAGTCTTCTAAGTCCAGAGCGCAGCAGGTCATAGGTGCCTGTGACAAGCAAAGTTCACTTGCGAAACTATAAAAGACATATCAAATATCAGTCACACATCCTATGCACGATGACTTTCTCCTACCTCCTGGCCAATTCGAAGCCAACTTTCCACGAATCAAATATCGCACTTCCCATTCCTCTCCAAATCAAGCTGCAAAGAGTTCTCCCATATTTCTCAAAAATGAGCGGCGTTGCCGACTCTACATGCCTGGTACTCAAACAATATCTTGTTGAGAGTTTAGGTCAACTACACTCACAATGTGTCTCCTTGAGATTGGTGTCTCCAAGATTGATGGATTGCCTGGCATGTTGATGAACTTCCAAGTGGTCCGAAATGTCAAAAAGGCCACAAGCCTGTAGACATGAACTGGATGGTGGCGTGGCCGGAGGCTCCTGCCTTCAGAATCGCACCGATGTGCGAACTCAGACAAACCGAGTGCGTGAATTGACCTGTTGCAACACGAGCCAGATCCACAAACCCCGCAGGACGAGGGAGTGGGCGTGCGATAGAAGGCCCACTCTTGTCCATAAACCTCAGCGCTTCATCCATTTCCCCAAGCACCAAACAATGCCATCCAGCCTCGATGGCAGCGTGGAAAGCCCCCATGGTACTGAACCTCGTTTCTGGTTTCAGGTGCCCCTGCTAGGGCCCGCGTGGAACCTGCTAGGGCCCTGGCATGGTATTGCAGAGCATGGAGTTGGGGATGGACAAAGCAGAGGCCAAATCAAAAATGTTGAGAAATACCTTTCGCTCTGCCAGGAAGGCTGATAGCTGGCTGAACTGGAGGCATAGAGAACAATTTACATTGTGTGGCCCTTCTTGTTGGCATCTTCAGCTTATAATTATAGAGGTCAGAACAAGAACATTGGAATCGAATCAAGGTATATAAGTCCTCAAAGCTTCTGAGCGCACTGTGTTTGGTGAGGCAGTCTTCAATGCACTTTCAAAGTGTACCACCTCGAGATTCAATTATATACAGTAAATCGGAGAAAGCAATGTGTCGACTTGATGATGAACGCGTTTCCACCTCTGCTAGACTGAAAGAAGGTGAAGATTCTGGTGAACTCTTGGCATCTCGAAACCTGGCACCAGGAAGCCGGTATCTGGACGACGGTGCCCGGCAACTTCCAAACAGGTTGTGGAAGACGTGAGCGCCAAATCCGTAGAAGCACCTCGTTTCAGGAGAGCGAACGTACAGAACGAACTACCATTAACCTTCCAGTAAGCTTGGCAGGGCGGCCAATGG